TAAACAAGACCCATCACACATTCCTCATATCTGATTGCTTTGCATCTTAGACTCTGTCCCTTTCCTTACAAACATAAGATTTAATATCCTCGGATGGATTCTTATCCTTGTACTCTGTTATACCCTCTTACAATGTTTGATGCTAGAGCTTCAATTGTGAAGACTTAATGTAATCTTATTTTACACAAAATCATACAAATTTTATGTGCAAATCTTTCTCTTTGCAAGGACAGGAAAAATGTGTTTGTGACTGACATTTTCCCCTCTCTACTAATGCTGACTGATGGAAAATGGCAACAATCGTTGCAATTCTTCAATACTGTGTCATATCATGGATAGTCACATAGCAATTAAAAACAACCCTACTTAGCACCCAAATTAGAAGAAAACAAACTTGCAGCACAGATTAATTATGTCACCGTTATTAGCTTTTCAACAGGACTCTTGACTTTACAAAAGGATTCACTACAGATTTCCTTTAAATAGTAAGCTCCACTAGTGCATTTAAGATATAATTAGATCTGCCTAAATTAGATTTGTACATGTTTCAGGAACTGATTCATTGCACAAAGAAACAGCAAGCCCATGTTTGCTTTGCTACACGAGGCAAAAACAGCGAATGCACACATGTTCTATTCAGAAGGTGCCAAACATCCAGATTTTTGGGCAAACTTGATATTCGATCATGTGTTTGAGTACTTGTCCAGATGCTTAGTACAATGCATTTGTGGCTTGGAGACCTTCTAACACAGTAGGAGGAGAGAGGCACAAATTTGCTGAGACACTCCCTATCTGTCTGAAATCGATCATGGCAATCCCTTCACTGCTCGTGGCTGGGCACCTTGAGAAATGATCACGTTTGGTGAAAACTTTATGGATGCCATTCATCACTTTAGTGAAATGGAGAGGTAACCCATTTTCGATGTGTTGAAAGATCTATGTTAAAGGCCTAAAATGGGTACTTTAAAATTAATCTAGAAGGCATGAAGTTATTCAGCTGAGAGGAAATACACTGTAAATAGCATTGTTCTTAAGAAATAGGACATGAAATTCTAAAATATACAAATGAAGGTAATAAAATCAAAACAAGTCCACACAAAGCTCTCCACCATAGTTTAACCCAGAAGGCAGGGCACTCCTTTCAATCTCATAATGTGCATCGGGACAGGTGAGCTGGGCTGGGAGATGGAGCTTTACACCTGACTATTCCCCTGCAGGTCAGGCTGTTGACTGTTTACACAAGAATATTCAGAGTTCTTTATACAAAGGTCTTATAGTGGCCTGAATTGATATACCTACTATTGGTAACTTTGCAAGTGGATGCTTTGTAAAAAAAGAAACTAACATCCCTGGTAAAAGGGGGTAGGCATTATTTGCACATTTGGAACCAAAAAGAAGCCTTAGACATCAGTACTTTATTTACTGCTGGAAAATGCATTTTGGTTAGATCTGCCAGTCTTGATTAAGAAGCACAAGAATGAGCTTGCTGGATGCCTTGAAGACAGCCCAGGTTTTCAGTCAGCCAGCCCATTGAGTCCTGGCTCTGTCTGATGGTGTGTACATGACCTTGAAACCTAGTCATTCAGTAAAATGAGAGGAGAAATATTTATATTGCAATTTTTTTCCTTTTTATAAGAAATCAATGAGTTGTAAATGAAAATTACTTAAAAAATGATAGCTCCCTTTCAGCTTTGAAGAGTTTACAAAACATAGGAAATTAACACCAGCTTTGACCTGTCCTTGGCATCTGGGCACGTGGCTTTGATCTAGAGTTCATGATCTGGAGTTCATTAGCTCTACACCAGAGTGAGGGCTGAGCCCACTCCCAGTCAGGTATGCGGTTGTCCCTGCCCAGTGCTCCACTCAGAGGAGCTTATGAAGCCATGACATAGTCATCAGATACATTTGTCAAAAAACTACACTGATAAAAATCTGTTTCATTGGTCATCAAAAATAAATACTTATTGTGAACACACGCTGGTGCCGAATGCTTATCATTGAGTCAATTTTAGTGCAAAAGTTGCCCTAATTAACAGTATTTGTGGTGAGAAAACTCTTCCAAAAATACCTGTTTTCTTTTAGAAAAGTATGATATTTTCTCAAATACAGCATTTTCAAATATTTCACTGCTCACCTGTATTCGCATCTTTATTACACCCCATCATATATATGGAAGAGCCAGTGATCATAATGTTGACTAGCTTTCTCTGTACTGGAATTTAATCTTCACAACTCTGTGAACTAGTGTATATTACTGGCCACTTTGAACCAATGAGAAAACTAAGACACAGAAAGTGACTTTCCAAAGTCAAACAGATAAAAAGTGATAGAAGTGAATTTGAGCTCAATGGTGTCAAGCACATTCTTAAGTCTATGCTCTGTTGCTTCTGTGGAGAGAAATAAGGGAACCTCATACACATCATGAAACCCTGGTTCATACGACTGGAAAAAATAAAAGAGCAAATTGATAGGGGCATTCATTTAGCTTGTAACTGAGGCAAGTCAGTTACAAGTTTTCCAGTAGCATTGAGAGTACAACTCTGGGTGAGAACAGGAGAGCCTCCCCTTGAGGTCAAATATGGAGACCTGAAGACTCTATGGGGCTGCAGAGGTGGGTGAGCCCAAATCCTGCTGTGCTGGTGCCCCCCAAGGAAACAGGTGGGAAGTGTGAGGGTAGGAGAGGGCCCTGGGCAGTGTGTCTCGGGGCCGCCTTCCTGGAGTGTGCTCCCTGTCAGGAGTGTGGGTGCCTTTATTTGTACAGAAATAGAATCAGAGTTAGAACTTAGGGATATCTTTTAATATGTTTAAAAAACCCAAATGGGACAGACTTATGAAAAATATATAATTGTGATGTATGATTTATATATAATTCTAAATTTATCCTTTGTTATACTTGTGACTCAAAGAATACAAAAGTGGTTTAACTGCAAATTTCTGCAAACACTTTAAAAGCCATACCCATTACTATTTGGACAGCAATTTTTTAGATGGGCTTCATCTTGGGAACTAAAAACACTGCTGGCCAGAATTGTGCTCTATGAATTATGTTTGATTAGATGTTCAGAGGATAGACAGATTTTGAAATCATATGAGCTACCTCAAACATGCATGTTAAAAGAATAAATAAGAGATTCCTTAAATCATTAAGATTGATCTTATTTTTCCCCAATATCCTGCAACCAATTGAACATTTATGATATGCCATGTTAACTACTTTATTAACTTCTAATGAATAAAAAGGCTATACTTCACTTTTTTTGGTTAAACATAGTTTTGGGGAAAAGAATTAATGAAGAAGAATAACATCAGTGCAATCTTTGACCTGCACCTCAGCCTGCATACTTTTAGGTAGGTTTTAAGAATATACCTGGGGGTCAAACACACTGGACAATTTATCGCTACAGAACAAAAATAGGAGGATAAGCAAACCCTCTTGCTATGGAAAGTCAGGTAGCAACACCTTTCTGAGAACATCTGTCTGCAGAACCTACCACCATGCTCCAAACAAAGGCCTCATTTGCATCAAGGCACTAAATTTGAAGTTATTCAGGACTGAAAAAAGATACACAAATGGCAAAGAGGTACATGTAAAGATGCTCACAGCACTAATGATCAGAAAAATGCACATTGAAACCACACACCTGTTAGAATGGGCATCTTCAGAAAGACAAGAAATAATGCATGCGGCCAGGGTGTGGAGGAAAGGGGACCCTAACACACTGTTCTTGGGAGTAGAAACTGGTATTGCCACTACAGAAAACAGCATGGAGGTTCCTCAAGGAGTGAAAAATAGAACTGCCCTATGATCCAGCAATCTCACTTCTGAGTATCCACCTGAAGGAACTAAAATGAGGATCTCAAGGAGGTATCCACACCCCATCTGCATGGCAGTATTATGTACAATAGTCAAGACAAGAAACAAACTAAGGGCATATCAACTAATAAATGCATAAAGGAACTGTGATATTTATAAAGAAATATTCAGCTATAAAAAGAAGGCTATCTTGCCATTTGTGACACCATGGATAGACCTTGAAGGCATTATGCTAAGTGAAATAAGTCAGCCAGAAAAAAAGAAAACTTGTGTGATCTCATGTCTGTGTGGAATCTAAACAACAACAATAAACAACAAAAACCCAAACCAAACTCATAGAAACAGAGAGATTAGTGGTGTCAGGGGTGAGGGATGGGGGAAATGGGTGAAGATGGTCAAAGGTTACAAGCTTCTAGTTATACAACAAAATCTGAGGATCTGATGTACAGCATGGTACTGGAATTGACAGTGCTGCACTGTACGCTTGAGAGCAGCTCTAGCTTAAAAGTCACTCCCCCACACAAACGGTATCTATGTGAAGTGATGAGGTGTTAATTAACTGTATTGTGGCAATCACTTTGCAATATATATATATAAACCATCACATTATACATTAAATTACACACTGATGCATGTCAGTTATATCTCAATAAAGTCGGCAAAAAAAGACTGTGGGGTGTGTGACAATGTCTACGTTGTCTACATTTTTCTTCTTGAATATGCATTCTTCTTACTAAACTGATCAATTGTTCAAAAGTTTTAAAATCAAGATACTAATCAGCTTTGAGCTTTTTAGTAACATGAGTTCCTTTGGACTATTTACAGACTCATCAGCAATGACTGAGTTTATATTTCATAGATTCAGAGGACATGAACCTAGCATTTTAGATTCTTGATCTGGCTATAAGAGAAACATTTTCATGGCATTCTTGTGTTTGATGTACGCATACAATATATCACTCATGGGTCATCTAGTTTTGCATCTTCCCAAGTCTAACAATAGATTTCTGTTTTCACTCCAAAATTCCTGGCTGTGGTTCTGTGTATATGAACCTAAAAGCCAGCTGTGGCTGAGACCTTGGGTTCAGATCACTTGTTAGCAAAGGGTTGCCTAAGGCTGAAAGGCCGCTTGTGACGCAGATGGAAACCTTATCAGTGGAACCAATCCCCAGTGTGCTTTTTGGTCTGTCTGTTCTCCACCTTGAGTTGTGAAAGAGTAACCTTAATTGAGCACAGTTTGTATGGAAGTGAATTGGAATAGATTTGTTCCAGGCTGAAAAATGATTTCTCCCTGAAAATAAGACAGACTTGAGAATGTGGTAACATCCAGCCATCTGAAAATGCAGGTAAGAAGAGCAGCTGCCCTCCACTCAGGCTATAGCAGTTGACATCCTTCAGCTTCCTCCTTCAGGGTAAGAACAATTTTCTTAGAGTAAATGTTTATTGCTGTACATAATCAGTGTCTGTTTTCAGGGCATGCAGCCATCTTATTGCATCCCCTCTTCTTCTCTGTTTCTTTGTAGTTCAGCAGGTTTTACAGATGACATGAGTTCCAGGTAAGAGGTCACTCAGACAGTTCTGAGACTGTCAAGTCTGGTATTTTTGCACTAAGTGAGTGGGTCAAAATGTATGTAAATGAACCACACTTTCAATCTTATTTGATTTGAGTATACAGTGTTTTACTTCAGTTGTAACAGAAAGTATGAAAGTTCAAAACCGCCAGAATAATTCAAAATAAAATATCTTGTTTTTTTTTTCTCATTTTGAAATGGATCAAACACTTCTGTGTTGTTGAAGACTGACAATAAAATGTAGACTTTCTCACCAAGTAATTATATTAGCAGCAAAACTCATAATGCATTTTGTTGGTTAAAAAGAGCATAAAGGAGTATTCTGTATTTTTTTTTTTAATGAGGTGCTATATTCTCATAGATCTTGGCCAATTATACACATCTAGTGCTAAACTGTGGTTATTGGAAAATGGTCTTTATCTTGTAACTTTTAGCAATGGAATGAGAGACCTCATGGATATTAATTCTTCTTATAATTTATTTGTCACCATACTCATAGATAAACATCATTAAAAATGCTTCCAAATATTTACTTCTATTTACGATATAACTAACACCAGATATTGTTATGTAATAGCAACCCTGAATATATCTGTATATTTCTGAGGATTGACTAAAGGTTAAAATGGTAGGCAAATTTCTCAATGATCTTTGAAACTTTTATACTACGCAGTAACATTTTTTCTAGATAGAACTTTTTGTGGGATAAAATGCATTGTATATATATTAGAGATAGTTCTTACAGTGCATAAACTTTATGTATATTTTTGTTCATAGGTTTCACTTACCAGAATCAAGAGGCAACTGGAAGCCAATTTTGTGTGCTCAGGGATGGTGGAAAACACTGACAAAATCAAGCAACCAAATACAAGGAGAAAGCTGTAAAACAACAAAAAAAGAGAAATCTGATGAGAACCTTGCCTTATCACGACAGACTTAATTTCTTCTTTCTAATGAATTGGCATTGATTAAATCATAAAAGCCCTGGAAGGAACTAGCGATTTTGAATAGCAAAACACAGTACGATGTAGGGTGCATTTGATTTTCCAAGGGGGCAGCCCCATGCAAGCTTCTCCTTCCATGACATCCCCAGACTCCCAGTTCAGCCACCTGTCTGACCCCATGTTGCAGTCAAATTTGATAACTTTTTGTTCCATAAAACATATTTTACCCCATCTATTTTCTGGTTTGTTGCCTTTCTCATATTGTACACTTATTAGTGAAGAGAAGGTTGTGGGTGTATGTTGCATGCTGTATTCAAATGTCCATATCTCAGAATCAGTGCATTTCCCATGAATGCCCTTCCCAAGCAGGGATCCTGAGAAAGACCCAGAAAGTGTGTTTTTGCTCTGCTATCCTGGGAGCATGCGCAGTAGCCTCTCTCTTCTCAAGGATGCAGAATCTGCCTCACGTTTAACGGTTCTGGTGAACAGGCAAGTGTTCTAACAGGTCGTTAGAAAAAGCCTTGGGCTCATTTTCAGTGTCTATTATTGTTCACAGATTCTCTTTTGTTATTTCTTTATAATAATGAGAAGAATAAAAAATAATGGAATAATTTCCTCTGATACCCATTTTCCATTTCCTTACAGTCAAACTACCAGAGAAAGGACCCCTTTGCTGTCTGTTCATACACAATGAAAGGAAGTGAAAGTCAGGAGCAGATTTCTCTACCAATCAATCTACAAAGCCATTTATTCCTAGAAATATGGAACTTCTAAGGTGCAGAGGGGGAGCTGAGTTCACAAGCAAATGTCTAATAAAAAGGGAAGGTTCTGTTTTAAAGTTGAAGTTATTTATCTTGAAATGCAAGACTAAAATAAAACAAAACAAAAACCAAAGCAATGATACCCAAACTACTTGGTTCTAGGCCATAATTTTTGCCTTTACTCACCTCTGGGAAGTTCATATAGTATTCTCCCTGAAATATCAGTTTCCATGTTCTTTAGTACAGCACTGGAGTTAGTCCCCACCTCCCCTTGGCTTGCCTTGACAAGTCTTACAAGTCTTTCTACTGCACTTGTGAAGCCCCAAGGGCCTATAGCCAAGGACTGGTGAATTATGGTCTGGAAACAACTCTGTCCTCTAATGCCTTTTTTAAATAAAGTTTTAAATAAAACTTAAATAAAGTTTTAAATAAAACTTAAATAAAGTTTTATTGGCACAACCACACCCATTTGTTTATGTGTTGTCATGTTACAACTGCAGAACTGAGGAGTGTGACAGAGATAGTACTGTGCACAATACTGAAATATTTACTGTCTGGCCCTTTAGAGGAAGTTCCCCCAACTCCTAACTGATATCACGTATCCCTTATCTCTTTGTATCTATTCCACCAGAACCAGAGTGCAGGTTCATAACTGCTCATAGTCTACATTACATGCTGAAAACAATTCCCAATGTCCATAGAGGGTTTTCTACAGGCTGCTACACGGAGCTAAGCCCCTTTCACATGCACTAACTACATTATCATCATAAATGTATGGAATAGAAATACCATTATTCCCATTTTACAGATATGGAAACCAAGAATTAAGAACATTTTGTAACTCATCCAAGGCTGTACAGCAGAAGGAGGATTCCTGCACTGGCTGTCCTGGCTGTCTGTCCTGTCAGTGTTGTAGAATGAACACGCACAGATGACAGCGGCCATCACACTGTTGGCTCAGCAAGGCTTTGTGGTATCTCTCTATCTCTTCACTGGAGGGAAGTAGTTATCATTCCAAATAGAAATCTCTAAGGAAAAGGAGTTTACTAGTGAAAGCACCTAGTATACAATGTTAATAAACTGCTCATAACAGTTTTATTTTTCACTGGTGAATATAACAACTCAAGATACTTTAGATTATTAAATTGGTCCTAATGGACTAAAAATTACAAACTAGAAACTGAATTTCATTGCATCTATATTACCTGCAAATTCCTAATGAGAAGATGAAAATAAGAATCATTAAGGTGGTTTGGAGGATGATGTGGCATCAAATAAAGACAGTGACACGTGTTTCTCCTCTGGTGAGTACCTGTTATCTAGATATGCCCCATGAGTCCAGCTTACCAGAAAACTGTAGGGAAAGCAAACATTGGATTATTTAACCACTAAGACACCTTGTTCCTTCAAAAGCATCCTGATGGTAGCTATATTTGTATTCAAAACAGATCTATATCATGATTATTTTTTATTGTTCCTTCTTCATTAATCATTTTCTATTTAATATTCTTACTTCATGTCACTACCTTGCCCATTTTCTTCCTTGGGCTGATCTTACCCTACTTTCTAAGAGGAGCAGTTTCTGCACTAGAATTCCATCATTGCTATGGAAGTCTATCTGAGACTGCAAGTCAAAGACCTCCAATTCTCCGCTTCCCAAAGGGTGTGGATAGACAAGTACATTCATTAATTCACCAGTCCCCTTCCTTTTCCTTCCCTTAGCCACTAATCCATTTACCCAATCAGAAAATATTGATTATGTACATAATATTAGGCTCAGCCTTGGGGATATAACAATGAACAGAATTCTTTTCTTTCTTTGCCTTTAGAATTTAGGGTCTATCAAGGCAAACAGAGTACTAAACAGATATAAACAGAAGTATTAAAATTCTGAGTGATTGTAAAGGTAGGGAGAATACAGAAGATGACAGAAGCACATAGGAGAGGAGGGGTTAGGCAAGACTGTACTTAATTTGTGGGGTCAAGTGCAAAGTGAAAATAAAGGGACTTTTTTGGTTAAAAAATTATTAAGAATTTCAAGATGGTGACAGCAGAACATGACACCAAGTGTGGGATCCCTCTAAGTGTTGGGCTCCATGGGACTGCAGAGGTTGCATACCCAGGAAGCCAGACTTGGGGTTAGGAAAGACTTTTTGGAAAGAATACTGATCAAACTCATCCCTGAAGGTCCAGCAGGAGTTAGTTTGCACAGTGGTGGAAATGCCTCATCAGTGAGACAGTGGGGGTTAAGGCCAAGAGCACACACAGTGTCACTAAAATTCACTAGTTAATCAATAAATTAGAGCTAGTGAACAACTGCTAGCTAGCTTATCCTTTGGCGGTACAGGGAAAGTGTAAGGTAGGTCATTCCTGCAAAATCATTTTCTGTGTAAGAATCATTTCAGTTCATTTGAAAACATGGATTGAGTATCCATTGTAAAAGGCAATGTGCCAAGAACTACAAAGACAAGAGGATGAATTAGAGTGGTCCCTACCCTTAAGGAATTTAAAATCTAGTGCAATGGATGAGGTGAACATAATGGATCATAATGAAGGGCTGAGGCAGATATGTCCTGAGAAAAATGCTGGAGTGGCCGAAGTGGGGAGGATTCTACTTCCTTAGATTGGGAGCAGTGGAAGCACATCAAGAAAGTCTTCATAAATCAGTGGTGTTTGACAGTCTTTGAAGGAAGGGACTCTTCTGGAGAAATGCTTTTCAGAATGAGGGTACAATATGAGAAAAGCAATGAGCAAGAAAGTGAGGTAAAATATTTGCTCACTGTTTCATAGAACAAAAAGTTATCGAGTTTGTAGCTCAGGGTCAGACAAGTGGCTGAACTGGGAACCTGGGGACATGTTCGGGGGAGAAGCTTGCATGGCAGGGTCTGTTTGTAGCTCAGTGGAGCTGCCCTCTGGTAAAATCAAGCTGGGAGCAGCTATGTTAGGACGTGTTTGAATATTTGAGTAGCAGGGGCAAGAGTGATGGTGATCTAGGTTAGATTATGAGGTAACTGGTAGAAATGAGAGTGGAATAGAAAGGCAGACTGCAGAGATGCTGTAAGTACAGGCGCTCCCTGCCTTTCATAATTATTGGATTGGGGAGTAAAGTTCGGGAAGAAGGTGTGATGGTGGGTAAACCCAAAGTTTTCATACCTAGTTATTGGTGATGCTCCTAACAAGTCAGGAGGAGAACAGTCAGGAGGAAAACCTGATTTTTGAGGAGAAGAGGATATATCCAATTTTAGGCATCCACGTAGATTGTGGACCTAAGTCTTGGGCACAAGGTCTGGTTGGAGATGTGGAAGTACTTTTTTCATAGTGGAAGTAAATGTATGGAATGTGTTATCGTAAGGAAAGTGCAGACCAAGCATGTAAGGTTCAGGTAAATAAACATAAAGGACACTTGGGGAACACTTCCTGGTCTTGGAGGATGACATTCTGGAGAACAAAGAACACATTTTGCTATGTGTTGGCTGTGGGGAGCTTTGCCAGAGGCTATGGACAGACTCTCTGGCTGGGGAAGCACTGACCTGACACTGAATGACCCCACTGAGGTGAGAGTGTTCAGATGTCAGGCTCACTGGCAGCGACGTGGTGCACTGCTGGGGTTTGAGTGTGGCTCTGCTGACATCAGCTTCCGAGGCCCCCATGCACATATGTGCATGCAGACAACTGACTACCATCCCACTCCCCCTCTATTGGTTGAATAAAAGGGGGAGCAGTGGCAAGAGTCATTGGATACAGGGTGTCTTAATTTAGGGTCCCTGGGCATCCAAGGGGTCTGTGGATAGAAGTCAGGGGGTCTGTGAATGCAGATAGGAAAAAAATTACATTTTTATTTGTCATTAACTATGGCAACAAACCATGACAGTATTAGCAGTGCTTATGACTTTGCCATTCATGGAAATCACAGATACTTTCATATCCTGCTTTACAGTTGTAGATGAATCCATAATTGTTTCATCTGGAGTATTGATTTTGTTCAGCACTACTTCAGGATTATGGTAGTTATTAGATCCACTGCCCGGGTTGTTTTTTAAATGCATTAATAAAGAAGCATGCTGTGCCTTACTATATCAGACACTTGTTTACTGTTTTAATAATAGCATGTCAACATAACTTTTTTGTAATCACATGCATTTCATGCATTTAAAAATATTATCCCGAGGAATGGTTCATAGGCTTC